CCTTATTGACATGGGAAGTCCAAGTCTACACCCCCTTATTGAGACTGAAGTTTAGGCTAGGCTGTGCAACCACTGCTTGATACTAGACTTGGTATTTAAACTGTGCCTCTTCGCTGAAGTTTCTTAAGCTTGTTAGACATTAAACTGAGGTATGTAGCCATGCAATTCAAATCAGCCTTAGTCTTCATTTAAAAGGGAGTAGTTATTGTTTTTTGACCTCTGTCAGACAAGAGGAGCTATGTTTTGATGATAGGGTAGACTTTGTATTACAGAATAAATTATGTAATAAAAGCTTAGTACATGTTTGTTCAATTAATAATCAGGACCTTGTTAATTGTCTATTTCATCATCTTGAGCAATCCAGTTATCTTACGAATGGCTTCTTCTAGTTCATTCATTGATAAAAAATTATTACCATGAATCGTCAAGACAAACTAGAATCCAGGGTTATTGTTCCAGAGCTTTGTGTTCAGTCCACTGGATCAGTTTCTCCCTGTGTCACCAAATGTGGTGGAGATGAGCTTGGTGATTTAAGTAAGTACCATGTTAAGGTTAAACCACAAGAGGAACAGAGTGTAGAAGTCTCCTGGGTGAAGTAGGAGGATTTTATTATCTTCTGTTTTTGCTAACATGTATTACAAAGAGGGTAGAGGTATATGTTTTATCTCTTCTGTAAGTAAACTTCTTGAAGGCGGAAGTAAGATCTGTTCAAGTTTATAATCTTTTTTTTATTTAACTTTATCTGAAGTAATTTTAAACTTGAAGTTACAAGAACAATAAAAGACAACTTTTATTCTGATATGCCAGTTCACCAGTTGTTAACATTTTGTCACATACTTCACTGTTTATTTCCTAATAAAAGGACATTCTCAGATGAAAATCAAAAAAGTTAACATTTTGAAAGAGTACCATTATGTAATATTCCATATTTTATATGGTCCATGCTTCATTTTTACGTATCACCGAATAATGTCCTTTGTAGCAGTTTTTTTCCTAGTCCAGGGTCATGTGTTGGGTTTTGTTGTATGTCTCTTTAGTCCCCCTTGATCTGGAATAATCCTCTGCTTTCCCTTGTCTGCCATGACATTGATATTTTTGAAGACTACAGCACAGGTAAGTTGTAGACAGAGGCCGGGTGCAGTGGCTCACGCCTATAATCCCAGCACTTTGGGAGGCCGAGGCAGGTGGATCACCTGAGGTCAGGAGTTCGAGACCAGCCTGACCAATGTGGTGAAACCCCCGCCTCTTAAAAAAATAATAAATAAATAAATAAAAAGAAGTTGTAGACAGCTTTGTATTCTTGGCCCAGGACATCAACCAAAGAAAGTTTTTAAAAAATACTTAAAAATGGTGGGAGCGAAACCAACGCCTGGCTCGGAGCAGCAGCTGCTGAGGTGTCCCTGGCCAGTGTCCTTCCACCTGTCCACAAGCATGGGGAACATCTTCGCCAACCTCTTCAAGGGCCTTTTTGGCAAAAAGGAAATGCGCATCCTTATGGTGGGCCTGGATGCTGCAGGGAAGACCACGATCCTGTACAAGCTAAAGCTGGGTGAGATTGTGACCACCTTTCCCACCATAGGCTTCAATGTGGAAACCGTGGAGTACAAGAACATCAGCTTCACTGTGTGGGACATGGGTGGCCAGGACAAGATCCGGCCTCTGTGGCGCCACTACTTCCAGAACACACAAGGCCTGATCTTCATGGTGGACAGCAATGACAAGAGAGCACGTGAACGAGGCCTGTGAGGAGCTCATGAGGCGCTGGCTGAGGATGAGCTCCGGGATGCTGCCCTCCCGGTGTTCGTCAACAAGCAGGACCTCCCCAATGCCATGAATGCGGCCGAGATCAGAGACAAGCTGGGGCTGCACTCCCTATGCCACAGGAACTGGTACATTCAGGCCACCTGCACCACCAGCGCGACGGGCTCTATGAAGGACTGGACTGGCTGTCCAATCAGCTCTGGAACCAGAAGTGAATGTGACCCCCCTCCCTCTCACTCCTCTTACCCTCTGCTTTACTCTCATGTGGCAAACGTGCGGCTTGTGATGTGAGTGCCAGAAGCTTCCTCCGTGGTTTGGTCACCTTGTGCATCGCACCATTCTGTAAATGTTGCAGATGCAGCCTGTGGCCAGGCTTTTTATTTAATGTAAATAGTTTTTGTTTCCAATGAGGCAGTTTCTGGTACTCCTATGCAATATTACTCAGCTTTTTTTTATTGTAAAAGAAAAATCAACACACTGTTCAGTGCTGAGAGGGGATGGAGGCCTGTGGGCACCTGGCCTGCAAGAGTCACTGTGTTGGGAAAGCCGGGCACGCTCTTGGCTTTAGAGCCGTGTTGAAATCCATTTTAGTGGTTGGTTTTTAACCCAAACTCAGTGCATTTTTTTAAATAGTTAAAAATCCAAGCCGAGAACACTTGAACACACAGAGGGGAGACCCTGCCTAGCATAGATTTGCAGTTACAGCCTGGATGCCAGTCGCCAGCCCGGCTGTTCCCCTTGGGAACATGAGGCGGCGGCGCGGCAGACTGCGATCAATTCTGCGTGGTCACAGGAGAGATCCCACAACTTGCTTGTCCTTGGGTCACCCTGCATTCCATAGCCATGTGCTTGTCCTTGTGCCCCCATGGTTCCCAGGGGCCAGGCTGCGAGCCCACAGCCGCCCCACTTTCCCGCAGGCCACCCCAACCACCTTCAGGTAGCCTGTGGGAGGCAGGGCCCCACCTGTCCCTCGGTCAGCATGTGGCCAGAGTGAGTCTGTTGCTCAGACACTTTGGCAGGATGTCTGGGGTCTCACCAGCAGGAGTGTGTGCAAGCTGGGCAGGCGGTCCACCTAGACCCACAGCCCCTCGGGAACACCCCACCTCCGTGTGTGACGTAGCTTGCTTTTCCTCAGCCTGCAGGGGTCCAATTTGCCATCGAAAAAGACAACCTCTATTTTTTTCTTTTGTATTTTGATAAACACTGAAGAAGCTGGAGCTGTTAAATTTATCTTGGGGAAACCTCAGAGCTGGTCTATTTGGTGTCCTGGAACCTCTTACTGCTTTCAATACACGATTAGTAATCAACTGTTTTGTATACTTGTTTTCAGTTTTCATTTCGACAAACAAGCACTGTAATTATAGCTATTAGAATAAAATCACTTAACTATTAAAAAAAACAAAAATTTGGGGGCGGGGCGTGGTGGCTCACCCTTTAATCCCAGCACTTTGGGAGGCTGAGGTGGGTGGATCACTTGAGGTCAGAAGTTCAACACCAGCCTGGCCAACATGGTAAAACCCCTTCTCTATTAAAAATACAAAAATTAGCTGGGGATGGTGGTGAGTGCCTGTAACCCCAGCTACTTGGGTGACTAAGGCAGTAGAATTGCTTGAACCCAGGAGGCAGAGGTTTCAGTGAGCCGAGATGGTGCCACTGCACTCCAGCCTGGGTGACAAATGAGATTCCGTCTCAAAAAAAAAAAAAGAAAAAATTTGGGGAAAGTAACTTTGATTCAAAAAGTTTAATACAAGGGGCCAGGCACCATGGCTCACACCTGTAATCCCAGCATTTTGGGAGGCCGAGGTGGACAGATCACCTGAGGTCCAGAGTTCAAGACCAGTCTGGCCAACATAGTGAAACTCCCTCTCTACTAAAAGTACAAAAAATTAGCCAGGCCTCTTGGCAAGTACCTATAATCCCAGCTATTTGGGAGGCTCAGTCTAGAGAATTGCTTGAACCTGGGAAATGGAGGTTGCAGTGAGCTGAGATTGCATTCCAGCCTGGGCGATAGAGTGAGACTCTGTCTCAAAAAAAAAGTTAAATATAGGAAAGAAATGTGATTTCTAGAAAAAGAACACATACTTTGACTTAGGGACTTAGATTTTTTTATTTTTTTATTATTTTTTTTTTTGAGACGGAGTTTCGCTCTTGTTACCCAGGCTGGAGTGCAATGGCGTGATCTCGGCTCACCGCAACCTCCGCCTCCTGGGTTCAGGCAATTCTCCTGCCTCAGCCTCCTGAGTAGCTGGGATTACAGGCACGTGCCACCATGCCCAGCTAATTTTTTGTAGTTTTAGTAGAGACGGGGTTTCAGCATGTTGACCAGGATGGTCTCGATCTCTTGACCTCGTGATCCACCCGCCTCGGCCTCCCACAGTGCTAGGATTACAGGCTTGAGCCACCGCGCCCGGCCCAGGGACTTAGATTTATATCACAGTTCTGCCACTTAGGAGTGGTGTGGCATTGGGCAAGTTACTTTATCTTCCTGACTCTCAATTTCCTTAGCTCTAAAATGGTATACATAAAATATTGGTGTGAAGAAATAAGATAATGTATGCAAACAGAGCAGCACATGCTGTGCATGCAATGCATGGTAACTGACGATACTGGCTTCGGGATAACCTTGCCTAAGTCATGTGAGGATGACTGTTTATGTCATGTTTGATGGTTAAATATTTCTATAGCCCTAGTCCACAGAACATGGAAATGGAGAAAAAGCCAGAATCAGAACAAGGAAATCAATTGGTTGTTACATTCTTTCCTTGGATGTAAATAGCACCTAAGAATACCTTGCATTTTCTCAGTGCCTTAAATCTTAACAAGAATGTGGAGACTCCTCTAAGTATTTGTCCCCATATTCAAGTTCTGCAGTATTTGATATTTTCCATTTGCTGTTTACTTTCCAAACTTAATAACTAGGTACGAAATGCTAATGTTCAAGGAATCATTTACTAGGAGACAGCTTAGTGTTTGCTTGTGGGTTGGCTTATTGACGTAATCTGTGTGCTGAATTCATCGGAATGTGGCATAGTCAAATCTGGCTTCTTCTACTACTGAGTTGGTGCAAGAAACACTTGGCAGGTATTAAAGTGCTATTCTTTGCAGTTACTTGGTATAATTTGCCACAGAAGTAAATTCCAGGAGATAATATTCTTGCTAGGTTACACCCTGTTACCTCCTGACTTAAGGAGTTCAAGCTAAGGGCAATGGTCTCTAACTCAAGGCGATTCTCTTGGCAGCCGGGAAGATTTCCAGAGGATTCCAGAACTTGCCATCAACCCATTGGGGGACCGGATCATCAATGCCTTCTTTCCAGAGGGGTGAGTCAGCACAGTTGTTGGACTTCCTTCCTGAAGCTATCACAGCCTAAATTATTTGCTAACCTGGAATAATGGTATTGGTTGTGTCACCTCAGACTGTGAGATCCCCTGATTATATTGCACATTTCTAATTTTGACATTTCTAGAATATCTCTTCTGTTCTAACCTACTGTGTGTTTTAAACTTCAAATAGACATATGAGCCTATCTTCAAAATTCTGTCTTTATGCTTATTATTGATGTAAAACTAGACTTTAAAAAAATGTTTTTTTGGAAATAATTTCAAATTTACAGAAATTTACAAGTTGCAAAATGAAAAACAGCACAAAGAATACTTGTATATCTATTGCCCTGATGCATCTATTGTTATATTGTCAACGTTTTGCCTCATTTGTGTGCTCTCTCTCTCAGTGGTAGCCAATAAAAATATAATACAAGCCATATAAATAATTATACATTTTCTAGTAACCACATTAAAAAAGTAAAAATAGGCCGGGCGTGGTAGTTTATGCCTGTAATCCCAGCAGTTTGAGAGGCCAAGGTGGGTGGATCACCAGGGCAGGAGATCGAGACCATCCTGGCTAACACATTGAAACCCTGTCTCTACTAAAAATACAAAAAATTAGCCAGGCGTTGTGGAACGCGCCTGTAATCCCAGCTACTCAGGACGCTGAGGCAGAAGTTGCAGTAAGCTGAGATCACTGCACTCCAGCCTGTACGACAGAGCGAGACTCCATCTCAAAAAAAAAAAAAAAGTAAAAATAAATTAACTTTGGTAATGAGGGAAGGTGTTCTCTTTCCAGGGTCCACAAGGGGGCGTAATTTTAAGGGCCTGCATTTCCCAGTGTCATGACCCCGTCCCATCTCTCTCCCTCCGGGAGATTTAATGGTTTATGTTTAAATTTCGCCGGCTTGGGAAGAAACAAAAAGTCAGTCACTCCAGCGAAAGTTCTAAGGAATTCCTTTCATTGGCCAGGGGTTTTAGAGAAGGTGGGGGTTCCTCCCAGGTTAAAAGTCCCCTTCTTCCACATCTCTTTGGACTCCATGTTTGGATCCCCTTCCGCGAAAACTCCGGTGCTCGTCGAAACTGTTTTTCTCTATCCTGGATTTTCCCTATGGAGTCCCCTGCCACGACCACTCCCTTCGTGCAAGCCTGTCTTCCCCTACTAAACTCCATCTTTCTCTATTCTCTTCCACTCACTGTGGAAGCTGCTTTCCTCTCCTGGATTCCATCTTTCTGGATTCTCTCACTCAGTGTGAGAGTTAGCTGTTTCTTTCTCTCTCCTTCTCCTGTTTCTCTCTCTCTAAATAAATCACTTTATTTTTATTTTTTAATTTTTTTTACAAAAAGCTCTGGGCATGGAAAATAAATCGCTTTCTACAAACACTTTTGGGTCTGGCATTTACTGTGCATTGCACTGTGGTCGCCTCTCTCATTCTTGAGAGGGCAAGAGACCGAAAACCTGGAGAAAGATTCTCTCAGGGGAGCTGAGGGCACCCTGAACCCCTGAACCCCAATATTACAGTAATATATATTTTATTTACTATATTTAAAATATTATTTCAATATATAATCAGTATTTAAAATAACAGATATTTTACTTTTTTTTTTTTTTTAGACAGAGTCTCGCTCTGTTGTCCTGGCTGGAGTGCAGTGGCGCCATCTCGGCCACTGCAACCTCTGCCTCCCAGGTTCAAGCAATTCTCCTGCCTCGGCCTCTGAGGTAGCTGGGATTATAGGCGCTCACCACCCCATACCCAGCTAATTTTTGTATTTTCAGTAGAGACGGGGTTTTGCCATGTTGGTCAGGCTGTTCTCGAATTCCCGACCCCAGGCGATCTGCCCGTCTCGGCCTCCCAAAGTGCTGGGATTATAGACATGAGCCACCATGCCTGGCCTACACGTTTTTGTAATTAGTCTTTGAAATCCAGTGAATAATTTACATTTAAACACATATCAAGTCAGACTGACCATGTTTCCAGTACACGTAGCCACATGTGACAAGTGATTGCAGTATTGAACAGTGCAGCTTGTTCTACATACCCTCTTGCTAATGTTCTGCATACCCTCTCTTGTTCTACATACCCTTTCTCACAGACATTTTTTTCCTTGTCTCTCTCCTCTCTTTCTACACACACCCTATGTGTGAATGTATATGTATGTACATACACATACTTATGTAATTTTTTTGTGTATGTTTGTTCACATAATTGTATTTCTGAACTATTTAAGGGTAAGTTGCATGGTCATGACCCTTTACCTCTGAATACACCTGTGTGTGTTTGCTAAGTGTAGGGACATTCTTTTACATATCCATAGTATAGTTTTCCACTTCAGTAAACTTAACATTGATAAAATACTCTTATCTGCGTTCAGATCCTCTCTGGATATAAAAAAAAAATACTCTTATCTATTACTGTTTTATTAATATATTATCTATTTTATTCTAATTTATATTCATATTCCAATTTGTCATCTAATAATTTGTTTTATAACACTTCCCTGCCTCCGGTATAGGATCTATTCTGGATCAGTCATCACGGCTCTTTAGCCTCCTTTAATCTGGAACATTTCCACAGCCTTTATTTTACTTTTGTGATACTGAATAAAGATACAGTTCTCATCACACACACACACACACACACACACACACACACACACTTTGTCAAGTAGATTGTTCTTAATGTGGGATTTTCTAACGTGAAAGTAGTCTTTTGATGTGCTTCACTACCTAATACACTGCCTTCAAAGTGCTGAGTAAATATTTATTGATTTGATTAGGTACCTTTTCATGAATAAAGCTTATATATAAGCTTGTTTTAAGTAATGTCCTAAACAGTCTCTTCCTGGTTCATATGAATAGTGTTATGACCCACAGGACTTCAAAATATTATATGGGTGCCAATTCTTAATAATGAGACTGTCAATGAGGACACTGTCAGATAAAATGCCTGGAGAGGAAATTTTAGAACTCTAAATTGAGAGCAAAGGAATTTGCTAGTTGAGAGGGTTGGGCACTCAGTAAATGTGAGCAAAGGTCAGAAGCGGAAGTTAGTTCATGTAAAGGCGAGAATCAAATCATGTTAACAATGAGGAATCTTGTGCCCTCCTTCATTTTTCTCTTTCTCCTTGAACTGGCCTATTTATTTCAGGTGTGGTGTGTCTGCTGAATTCTTCCTTTTTCTACTTCCTCTTTTACCCCTGCAAAGCACTGAACCCTATCCAGAGATAACTTTAATAGCTATGCTTTGTATCCAAACCTTTTGCAATGAAAACTAAACCCAGGAGAATCACTGTGCCAATTTTTTTTCAGAGTTCCTTAGTCACCATTGATTACTTGAAGAAACAAGCTTGTGGGAAGCTGTTTTGTAAGGCTAAACCACATTTGCTCTGACTACAGTATCACCTGCTATTCTGTCCACCAATCGACTGCTAAGGAAATGGGACAGAGTGCATATGAAGAAATGGAGGGCTCTTCTGGGCTGCACTGCTTAGCTCTTAGCAAGCTGTGCCTCTGTCTCTTGCTCTAATCACATAGATATATTTGGCTTCTGGGTTTTTCTTTCTTCCCTAGTCATATGCACATGGGGGCTTTTTAAACATTTTTTTATTTTAAGAGTGAGGTATGAAAGTGGACCATGGTTATTTAATTCCTTTTTACCCAGAAACTTTATGTTATCAATACTCATTAATGTGGTTTTTCTGGCATATGATTTAAATTTTACTCCACATTACTTGATTTCTCAGATCTTACATTTTTGACCAGTTAGCAATATAGATACCTTGAAGAACTAAAAGGTCATTCTTTTTTGTTTGTTTTGTTTTTTTGAGGCACAGTATCCCTCAGTCACTCAGGCTGGAGTGCAGTGGAATGATCTTGGCTCACTGCAACCTTCACCTCCTGGGTTCAACCAATTCTCCTGCCTCAGTCTCCCCGAGTATCTGGGACTACAGACGCATGCCACCATGCCTGCCTAATTCTTTTCGTATTTTTAGTAGAGATGAGGCTTCACCTTGTTGGACAGGCTCATCTCGAATTCTTGACCTCAGTTGATCCGCCCGCCTCGGCTTCCCAACATGCTGGTATCTGGCCCTAGGAGTGAGCAACCGCGCCCAGCCAAGTTCATTCTTTTGAGGACAGATGGCTCACAGGCTAGCCTTTGAACTCTGCCTTTAGAAAGTCCCTAAACTGCGTGTCTATAGAAGAGACCCTAATACCTCAGCTATTTGGTGGGGCACAGAGAGATTTTATTTTTAGGTAACTAGAGGAACCAGGCCACCTGCCTTAGATAAATATTATGTCACATAGGACATTATTATTATTATTATTATTATTATTATTATTTTTATATGTTGTCCAGGCTGGAGTGCAGTGGCTATTCACAGACACAATCCCATTACTGATCAGCATGGGAGTTTTGACTTGTTCCATTTCCAACCTCAGCCAGTTCACCCCTCCTTAGGCAACCTGGTGGTCCCTCGCTCCCAGGAGGTCACCATATTTATCCTGAACTTAGTGCAGACACCCAGTTGGCATAGTGCACTACGGCGCAGAACTCCTGGGCTCAAGTGCTCCTCCAGCCTCAGCCTCCCAAGTGGCTGGGATTACAGGCACGTGCCTCCACGCCCAGCTCTTTTTTAAAAATTTTTATTTTCACCACTATACTAACGAGAATCTTTTTTTATTATTAAAGAACATCTTCATTCAAGTTTTGAGAATTATTATTATTTTTTGAGACGGAGTTTCGCTCTGTCTCTCAGGCTGGAGTGCAGCAGTGTGATCTCAGCTCACTGCAACCTCTGCCTCAAGCTATTCTCCTGCCTCAGCCTCCCAAGTAGCTGGGACTACAAGCATATGCCACCACACCCAGCTAATTTTTTGTATTTTTAGTAGAGATGGGGTTTCACTGTGTTAGCTAGGATGGTCTTGATCTTCTGACCTCATGATCTGCCCACCTCGTCCTCTCAAAGTGCTGGAATTACAGGCATGAGCCATCACACCCAGCTGAGAATTATTTCTTACAGGGCTATTGATTAGCCTGTGGCAGAATAAAAAGATTTTCTCTAAGCTTAAGTGCCAAAAAGGCTTTATACACAAGAGGTCTTTCAAAACGTTTTTTTTTTTTTTCTCCATCTGTCACCCAGGCTGGAGGGCAGTGGCGTGATCTCCGCTCACTGCAACCTCCATCTCCAGGGTTTAAGTGGTTCTTGTGCCTTAGCCTTTTGAGTAGCTGGGATTATAGGTACACACCACCACACTCATCTAGTTTTTGTATTTTTAGTAGAGTCAGGGTTTTACCATGTTGGCCAGGCTGGTCTTGAATTCCTGACCTTGTGATCCGCCTGCCTTGGCCTCCCAAAGTGCTGGGATTACTGGCGTGAGCCACTGCACCAGGTTTTTTTTTGTTTTGTTTTATTTTGTTTTTTAAGACAGAGTCTCCTCTGTCACCCAGATTGGAGTGCAGTGCTGCAATCTTGGCTCACTGCAGCCTCTGCCTCCTGGGTTCAAGTGATTCTCCTGCCTCACCTTCCTGAGTAACTGGGATTACTCAGGTGCCCACCACCAGGTCCAGTTCATTTTTTTGTATGTTTAGTAGAGACGGGGTTTTACCATGTTGGCCAGGATGGTCCAATCTCCTGGCCTCAAGTAATCTACCTGCATTGGCCTCCCAGAGTGTTAGGATTACAGGCGTGAGCTACTATGCCTAGCCAGTATTTTTCTTTTTTGAGATGGAGTCCCACTCTGTCACCCAGGCTGGAGTGCAATGACATGTTCTTGGCTCACTGCAACCTCCGCCTTTTGGGTTCAAGTGATTCTGCCACCTCAGCCTCCTGAGTAGCTGGGACTACAGCCTTGTGCCACTACACCTGGCTAATTGTTTTGTATTTTTAGTAAAGACAGGATTTCACAATGTTGGCCCGGCTGGTCTTGAACTCCTGAACTTGTGATTTGCCTGCCTTGGCCTCTCAAAGTGCTGGGATTACAAGTGTGAGCCACCAAACCCGGCCCCAGGATCAGTATTTTTCTGTCTACTTTTCTTTTCCAAATGTTCAAAAATATGTTTGCTTTTATAATAAAATAAGGCTAAGTGCAGTGACTCATGCCTGTAATCCCAGTGCTTTAGGAGGCTGAGGCAGGTAGATCGTGAGGTCAGAAGATTGAGACCATCCTGGCTAACACAGTGAAACACTATCTCCACTAAAAATACAAAAAATTAGCCAGATGTGGTGGCATGCACCTGTAGTTCCAGCTACTTGGGAGGCTGAGGCAGGAGAATCTCTTGAACCTAGGGTGGCAGAGGTTGCAGTGAGCCAAGGTTGCAACACTGCACTCCAGCCTGGGCAACAGAATGAGACTCCATCTCAAAATAAATAAATAAATAAATAAAAATTAAAAATTTAATAAACTTTATTTTAAAAGCAACTGTTCTTTAATGCACCTTAATTTTAAAATATTCCTAGTATACATTACTGCAGGAGAGATGTGGGAGATGACTGAGGAGTCATTGGGTTGAATTGACTTAACCTATGGCTCGCTGCAGAGTTCAAAGCAATGAGTTCAAGGTCTGGCCCTCTTTTATAGTGCTGGCACTACTCTATGTCTGTTTTTTGGAAAAGAGATACAAGTAAATTCAATAGCTAACTATAGCCCTGGTAAGTCCTGTTACCTAAGTCTGGTTAAATCATTTATAAAGTGGAAGTAATAGTGGGAGTAATAGCACCTGCTCCTTAAGGTTGGGGTGAGGCTTAGATGATAGGGACTATGAGCCCCAAAGTACTGTGCATATGGAAAGAAACCTCATTAAGTGGACTTTCAGGTGATTGTAGCTAAAGCTGTTGATTTAATTAATTCGTAAGAAATAATCACCGTGATTGACATGGTGTTCTGTTTGTTATACTTCACAATCAGAGAGGACCAGGTAAACTTCCGTGGATTCATGCGAACTTTGGCTCATTTCCGCCCCATTGAAGATAATGAAAAGAGCAAAGATGTGAATGGACCCGAACCACTCAACAGCCGGAGCAACAAACTGCACTGTAAGAAGCTAAAGTCTTCTGGCTTAAAATACTTGCTGTTCATTTCTTAAAAATCATGTATTTACTCATTCATTATTTGAACAAGCATTTACAAGAACATACTGGTTAAGACCTCAGACTCTGGAGCTAAACTAGTCAAATTTAAATCCTAGTCTACCTCTTTTTGGCCGTGTGACTTTGGGCAAGATATTTAACCTCTTTGGGCTTCAGTTTTCTCCTTTGTAAAATGGGATATTAAGGGCTTCCGCATTGAACCGTTGTGAGGATTAAATGAGGGAATAAATGTCAAGTGCTTCAAACAGTGCCTGGCATATACTAGGTACTTAATAAGTGTTACCTAGTTTCATTGTAATTCACTGAGCACCTACTTTGTACCAGGCACTGCAGTCAGTACCAGCATGGCAATAGTGAACAAGACACAGGCCCTACCTTTAAGGAATAATGGCAGTCCTCAGCACATCTTAGAATTTGGTAGACACTGGGTCCTCAGCTCATCTTAGAATTTGATAGACACTGGATGTGACTTAAGTAGGGGGGAACAGCTGGATATAGTGCTGTATTTAATTTTTATACCCATGTCTCATGCCTCTTTTCCTTTAAATACTTGTTTGCTTTCCCTTCTGCCCCTACTGGTTCATGTATGATATTGCCCAATCCCTTAAAACACTTCTCCAGGAAATTGAAATTGAATTTCTCTTTTTATTCAGTACAACTTGAAATTGAAATTGTATTAAAACTGACGAAGGCTGGGTGCAGTGGCTCACGCCTATAATCCCATCATGTTGGGAGGCCAGGGTAGGTGGATCACTTGAGCCCAGGAGCTTGAGACCAGCCTGGACAACATGGTGAAACACCGTCTCTAATAAAAATACAAAAATTTGCCAGGTGTGGTGGCATGCATCTGTGGCCCCAAGTACTTAGGAGGCCGAGGTAGGAGAATTGCTTGAGCCTGAGAGGTTGAGGCTGCAGTGAGCCATGATGGCACCACTGCACTTCAGCGCAGGTGACAGAAACTCTGTCTCAAAAAAGAAAGAAAACAAAATCTTCCAAATAGCACTAGTGGATTTGGGCGTTAGTTGATGTCTTAGGATGCCTTTAGTTGACTCAGCTGGCTTAAACAATAAGGAAATATATTAGCTCACTTTACAAGTCAGGTTAGACCAGCAGGTGGGTTGATTATGTTTCAAGCACTAGGGATTTCTCTCTTTACTCTGCCATCCTTGTAGTCTGTTTTATCCTAAGGTATTATGGTCATATGACAGCTCTCAGTTGTTAACAGGGCTTCTTTTTTTTTCTTGTTCACATCTGACAGTAGAGGAAGAGAGATATATGTAGAGAGAGATCGAGACTGAAATTGAAATTGAGCAACACTCCTCCCAAGCATGGAATGTAAGTCCTTCCCCTCACTTTGATAAGTCAGTTTAGGTCAGGAGAGTGCCAAGTGCTAAGGTGATTAGGCTAATGAGATTCCCCTCCTAATGCTGTGGTTGGGGTTCTGCTGAGGAAGAAGGTTGGAATGCACAGAAATGGCAAATTTCAGGATGAGATAGAATAATAACAAAGTTCTATGCAGGTTATGCTTGGGTTTATTTTGTTTTTTCTTAATTTTT